TGGAGTGCAGTGATGCAATTTCAGCTCACTGCAACCTCTGCCTCCCAGGTTCAAGTCATTCTCCTGCCTCAGCTTCCCAAGTAGCTGGGATTACAGGCATACACCACCATGACCAGCTAATTTTTGTATTTTTAGTAGAGACGGGGTTTCACCATGTTGGCCAGGTTGGTCTCAGACTCCTGACCTCAAGCGATCCACCGCCTCGGCCTCCCAAAGTGCTGGGATTACGGGTGTGAGCCACTGTGCTGGGCCTCAAAACCCATTTTACACTTTTTTTCCCTTTTTCTCTTTTCTCTGTAGTCTCAAGATGTAACATCAAAGCAAACTGCAGAAAACTTTTTTCCCTCCTTAGTCTTAAAATACAGCTGTGAAATGTACTTTCAAACTGTCTCCCTCCCTTATCCCAGGCACATTTATCTAGCTATGTGCTTGTGTTAATTACATGTTCCCTTAGAAGTTCTGGGGGCACACAGCTTACTGCAGCCTTAACCTCTTGGGCTCAAGTGACCTTCCTGCCTCAGCCTCCAGAGTAGCTGGGAGTACAGGTGTGTGCCACTGCGCCTGGCTAACTTTTTAATTTTTGTAGAGACAGGGTCTCGCCATGTTGCCCAAGCTAGACTGGAAGACCTGGGTCAGATTCCATGTGTGAGCCACCACTGCCCCTGGCCTTCCAAGTGCCCTTTTTAAGTTTGTCTCCCCAGCCTAAAGTTTGAAATGGTTCCTGTGAAGCGCAAGCCTGGGCCACTTCCCCACCACTAGCCCTGGAATAAAGTCACTTTCCTTTCACTGCATCTCACCCCTGTTATTGGCTTTGTAAGTGACCAGCAGCCAAGCCTATGTTTGGTTACAATAGGGCTGTCAGAAAATAGAGGCCGCCCAGATACATCTGAACTTGAAATAAGCAAGTGATCATTTTATATGACCCAAATATTTCATGGAACATACTTACACTAAAAAAAAAAAAAAAAAAAAAAAAAAAAAGGTAATTTATCTCAAATTCTAATTTAGCTCACTTTCCTTTTTTCGAGACAGGGTCTCACTCTGTCGCTCAGGCTGGAGTGCAATGGCACTATGTCGGCTCACTGCAACCTCTGTCTCCCGGGTTCAAGCAATTCTCCTGCCTTCGCCTTCTGAGTGGCTGGAAATACAGGCACACACCACCATGCCCAACTAACTTTTGTATTTTTAATAGGGACAGGGTTTCACTGTGTTGGCCAGGCTGGTCTCGAACTCTTGACCTCAAATGATCCACCTGCCTTGGCCTCCCCCAAAGTGTTAGAATTACAGGTGTGAGCCACCATGCCCGGTTTGAGTTCCCTTATTTTTATTCGCTACATCTGGCAATCTTACCTGGGGAGAAATGGCAGGATCGTCGCCAGATGCCAGGGTGGGGGGTGCAGATCTTAGGGACCAGTGGCATCTTAGGGAGTGCCACCCACAGTAATGCCAGGCTGAGGGTGATGAGCAGCTGCTGGCTTTGGTGTGACAGGTCTGGGGGTTGCCACTTCCATCCTGCCTGGTGGGGACATGGAGTGCCACGTGAGTCTTTTCCAACTCCAGATGTAGTAAAACTCCTTCCACTCCCCACTGACCCTCTATGCCAACTGCCCTTTGCCCACAGCTAAAGAGTCAAATGCTCTGCATGACTTAGAACCTGTCATGGTCCTGCCAGACTGACATCTCCTCCCTCCCCTGGTCGTTCTCCTCCAGCCTCTGGGCTCCACCTCTCTGACCTGTGTTTGCCAGAATTCACACCCATGACTCTGGCTGCTGGTCCAGGACTCCTGGGGTCACTGGAGAGAAAGGCCATGTGCGTACCTCTGTGCAGGTGCCCTTTGTCCTGGCGGCACTCATTGTGAGGCCAAGAGGAGCCACTCAGGAAAGACCAGCTCTGTCCTGCTGGGAAGACAGATATCCCCAGCACGGGCCCCTGACACAAGGCTCCTGTCCGGTGTGCTGCTGGCCCACGGGGGCTCCTGACCTGAGACCCCTCTGCTGATGACCTTAAGTCACTGTCACCAAGGCTGCTGTTTCCTAAGCCCCTATTCTGAGAAGGGCATCTGATATGTTTTCTCTCGTCCTTCATCATTCTTGCCAGGTAGAGGGAAAGTATGGCCCCACTTTACAGATGTGGAGACTGAGGCCAGAGAGGTAAAGTCCCCTGTCTAAGACCACCTGCCATCTGCCCAGCAAAGCCTGCGGACTCCAGGTGTTGACCTCCAAGGTCATCCAGAGGCCAGCGGCTGCCTGAACCTGGGCCTTCTTCCCTGGGGTTCTTCTGATTTCAAGAGCCCAAGCCCCCTGCAGGGATCAGAGATAGGGTTGCTTCTCGAAGTTCTGCTCCCCAAATCCTTCAGGGGCCAAGACCAGTGGGGGCTAGGGGAGGGGAGAAGGTCAGTGTTTCCCAAAGTTCTGGCTCCCTCTCCACGCCTCTTATTAAGGCATATCTCCAAGCCCCAACCCTGGAGGTTCAGAAGACCTAGAAGGGAATCCTAAAATCTACTTTTTTTTTTTTTTGAGACTGAGTCTTGCTCTCTCACCATGCAGTGGAGCAATCATAGCTTACCACAACCTCTGCCTCCCAGGTTCAAGTGATTCTCCTGCCTCAGCCTCCCAAGTAGCTGCGATGACAGGCTTGCAACACCATACCCAACTCATTTCTGCATTTTTAGTAGACAAGGGGTTTTGCCATGTTGGCTGGGCTGATCTCGAACTCCTGACTTCAAGTGATCTACTCATCTCAGCTTCCCAAAGAGCTGAGATTTCAGGTGTGAGCCACTGTGCCCGGCCTAAAATCTACCTTTCAACAGGTGTCTCTGCTACAGCCAGTTTTAAAACCAATGATGAGTACTCTCGGCAACCTTCAGGCCCTCTGCCCAGCCCAGAGATTCAGGAAGCTGACCCCACAGATGGCCGTCTGGGCCATGTGTAGAGGGAGGTACTTTCTTCTGAGGAGGGAATAACAGGGCTTCTTCACATGTGGCCCCAGCATCTGTATCCTCAGCTCTCTGCCCCATGTGGACAGGTCAGGAGGGAGAGAAGTGACCCTGTATTTACAGAGCGACCTCCAGATGGCAGGAACCGGATATTTTTGGAGGGATCTCCAACCCAGTGGCTGAGAATGACAGTTGGTCCTGAGTGGGGATTCCAAGGGGGTTTTCCCATGAGTCCAGGAGCCCCACTCAACAGACAGCCAGAGCTGGTGATTCTTAGGGTCAGAGGAAAAGCCCCTAAATGTTCTGCAATGGCTTCTCCCCTCCAGCTGCCCTCCTTCCTCCTTCCTCCCTGATATCCCCTCCCAGTCTGCTGGGGCCCAGCTGGGAGTGGGTTTATCCGTTCACCCTCTGGGCAGGAAGAGTTCACAGGCCTTTCTAGAAAACCAGGCCTGGTGGTTTAGATCTTTAAAATTCAAAGGGTGGTCCAGGGAACAGCACCATCAACTTCTCCCTGGAACTCCCAGAAATGCAGAATCTCAGCCGGACGTGGTGGCACACCTGTAATCTCAGCCCTTTGGGAGGCCAAGGCAGGGGGATCACTTGAGGTCAGGAGTTCAAGACAGACCTGGCCAACATGGTGAAACTCTGTCACTACTAAAAATACAAAAACTAGCTGGGCGTGGTGGTGTGTGCCTGTAGTCCCAGTTGTTCGAGAGGGAGAGGAGGAGAATCGCTTGAACCTGGGAGGTGGAGGTTGCCCTGAGGCAAGATTGAGCTTGCACTCCAGCCTGGGTGATAGAGTAAGACTCTGTCTCAAAAAAAAGAAAAGAGGAAAGAATGCAGGATCTCAGGCCCTGCCCAGATCCCTGAGTCAGCATCCGGCTTCTAAGCGGACCCCAGGAGATTCATTTGCAGATTAAGGGGTCAGAAGCACTCATTTAAATCACTGGTTCTTCACCTTGCAGCCCGATGTCTGGGAGCTTTAAAAGCACTGGTATAGGGTCCCACCCCCAGAGCCTGATTTAACTGGTCTGTAACACGACAAGGGCAGTGGGTCTTTTACACCAAATCGCAGCAGAGTTTGGTGTGTGTGTGTGTATTTGTTTTTAATCTTGGTTCCTGAAGATGGCATAGTAGAGGTTGGGTGCGGTGGCTCATGCCAGCTCTTTGGAAGGCCCAGGTAGATGGATCATCTGAGGTCAGGAGTTGGAGACCAGCCTAGCCAACATGGTGAAACCACCTGTCTACTAAAAATACAAAAATTAGCCAGGTGTGGTAGCAGGTGCCTGTGATCCCAGCTACTTGGGAGGCTGAGGCAGGAGAATTGCAGGAACATAGGAGGTAGAGGTTGCACTGAGCTGAGATTGTGCCATTGCACTCCAGCCTGGGCAACAAGAGGAAAACTCCATCTCAAAAAATTAAAAAGAAAAGAGAGAGATGGCATAGGAGAAAGCACCCTCCCTCCACACACACCTGGCAGGCCCCTCTTGTGGGGTCAGCTTAGGGAATTGGGGTGGGGGCAGAGGGCGGAAAGGCCGGAACCCAGCTCCAGGATCAGAGATGAGGCAGCTGCTGCCTCCGTCTCCACCCACAGAGGCCAGCAGTGGGGGAAATGTGTCAGGGGCTTGTGGCCCAGGAGCCTTCTTTGGGGGTGACCAGGGGTGGGGGACAGGTACCTATTGCCCATGGCGGGAGGGAAAGGGGAGGACCAGTGGCCTTGGTATCTTGATGCTTAGCCCTCTGCCCGTGGTGGGGGATCAGGACAGGGAGAGGGCACGCAGGAGAGGAGAGTCACCATGTCCTGGGTCAGGAAAGACCCTCAGATAACAAGTTTTCTGTCCTAGGAGATACCCAGGAAGACTTTCAGATCAAGAAACACTACTATTACTGTCAATAATAATTTTGTGCTTAGTTACGTGCCTGGCACAGAGATGGATGCAGATCTCACCGTGGTTCTGAAGCTGTGGCGGCAGCAGCGGCAGCCCTTAAAAGGCAGATGAGGCCAGGTTGGTGGCTCCCTCCTGTAACCCCAGCACTTTGGGAGGCCAAGGCAGGAGGATGGCTTGAACCCAGGTGTTGAAGACCAGCCTGGGCAACGTAATGAGACCCTCCTCTCCACAAAAAAACAAAAAATTAGCCAGGTGTGGTGGTGCAGCCTGTGGTCCCAGCTATTTGGGAGGCTGAGACCGGAGGATTGCTTGAGCCCAGGAGCTTGAGGCCATAGTGAGCTATGATGGCACCTCTGCCCTCCAGCCTGGCTGGCAGAGAGAGGCCCTGTTTCTGGGTGTGTGTGTGTGTGAGGGGGAAGGCAGATTCTATGGCCCCACTCCAGGCCTTCCACATCCCCTGGGCCGGGACTGAGAATCTGCTTTTCACAAGGGTCCTAGGAATATCATTTCGCGCGGAGACTGTTGGGAAACACCGACAGCCTTGAATGCCGCTGCCCACCACGGACAGTCATTCATTGCCTTATCGATCATTCCATCCACGTCCCTGCTCCGTGCACACCTTGCGCCGACGCACCTCCTCGCTCCTCCCATTCCTCCCAGTATCTCCGTCAGCTGTTCCTGACGCCGCTTTCTGGCCGGGGCGAGTCCTCACTGGGCCGAGCCCCGTCCCCAGCCCGCGACTGCGCCCTGGGCCCCGAGCGTCCCGCCCCTCCCCCACCACGGAGCCGCAGGCCGGGACCCTCCGCGTCCACCGCCAGCTGCCCGCAGCCGCCCACCCGGCATCCGAGCCTTTCGGCGGCGACGGGCGGAGCTGGAGCCTCGGGCCTGGGCGCCAGGTGGGCTCCTGGGACGGTGATGAAACAGGTAGGGCCGCGGGGATGCTGGGGCTAGAGGTGGGGCGGGGACCGGAGGAGCCTGCGGGAGCGCTGGAGAAGCCCAGAGGAGGAGGAGGGACGCGCCGGGGCCTGGGGCTGGCTGCTTGAGGCTGGGTGGTTGGGAGGGATGGGAAGGGCTTTGCCACTGCGTCCGAAGCGGAGGGGCCGGGCCAGCTCGGAGGGAACACTTGGGAACCCAGCGGTGTGCTAGTGGAGTCCAGGCCCTGGAGGACAGGGCGGGTGGCCTGGGCGGATAGGGTGGGGTGTGCGCCGTGTCCTGGCCTGCCACCTGCCCTTGCTGTTCCCCCAGGCCCTGGTGGACGATACGGAAGATGTGTCCCTGGACTTTGGGAACGAGGAGGAGCTGGCCTTTAGGAAAGCCAAGATCAGGTCTGTTGGGATAGAGCTTGGGGCCGGCTTCCCCCAAAGCTGCAAATTCATTCATTTAGTCATTCATTCAAAATATATTGAGCACCTACCGTGTGCCAGGCCTAGGGCTGGGGACACATCTGTGGGGACACATCCCTGCCCTCCTGGAGCCTGCACTGGGAGAGGGAGGAAGAAGGGATGGTGCTGACATTGAACAGGCAAACAGAGATTGATGAGATAATTGAATGTGAGAAGAAAATCTGATCTGTGATGAAAGAGAAGGTAACCAGGGAAGTCCACTTGCTTTATTGCAGCCATGGAGGGCCTCTCTGAGGAGGTGGCATTTGGGCTGAGACCTGAATGATGAGAAGCAGCCAGCCATGGGAGACTCCAGAGGAAGAGTGTTCCAAGCTGAGGGAACCGCAAGTGCAAAGGCCCTGGGGCTGTGTTGGAAGATCAGAGAAAGGCCACTGAGGCTAGAGGGGAGCAGGCTTGGCAAGGGGCTGGACAAGTAGAAGAGGGCTTGGAGTTTTATTCTAATCCCCGCTGAGTCTAGTTAGACAGACTTGTCCTGGGTCAAGTCACTCACCTGCCTGAGACCTCCTAGCATCTCAGAAGTTGGCAGGACCAAGGCATAAGGCATGACCAGGGGACATGGTTTCGGATAGCCCAGGCAGCAGCCACTTCTAGAAATGACCAGTCAACATGGTTGCTGATGTCCCAGGCGGCAGCCACTTCTAGAAATGACCAGTCAACATGGTTGCTGATGTCGCAGGTGGCAGCCACTTCTAGAAACACCCACAGCTCAGCCTCACTCTCCTTCCAGCTTTCAGAGCCAGCAGGCATGTGGCAGGCCCTGGCACCTAAATGCCATTCCTTGTAAAGTCTCTTTTCTTAAAATCAAACTGATTCAAACCTAACAAACCTCAGAAAGGAATAGACTGTATTAGTTTCCTGTGGCTGCTAGTAGAAATTACCATGATCATCTTGGCTTAAGACAAAAGAAGTTTATTCTCCTGCAGTTCTGGAGGCCAGAAGGCAGAGTCAGTTTTCCTGGGCTGAAACCAAGATGGCAGCTGGGCCACACTCCCGTCAGAACTAGGGGGAAATCCGTCCTTTGCCTTTTCCGGCTTTCGTGGCTGCTGGCATTCTGTGGCTTGTGGCCTGTTTGTCCATCTTTAAGGCCAGCAGTTACAGTATCTTCAGATTTCTCTCTGCTCTGTAGTCAAGTGACTGTGTGTGTGAAGTTTCCCTGTGCCTCTTTCTTTTAAGGACTGTTGTGATGGCATTTAGGTTCCACCCAGATAATCTAGGATAACCTTTGCATCTCAGGATCCTTAATTATGGGCTGAGTGCAGTGGCCCATGCCTGTAATCCTAGCACTTTGGGAAGCCAAGGCGGGCAGATCACTTGAGGTCAGAAGTTTGCAGCCAACATGGCGAAACCCTGTCTTTACCAAAAAATACAAAAATTAGCCGGGTAGAGTGGCATGCACCTGTAATCCCAGCCACTCCAGAGGCTAAGGAAGGAGAATTGCTTGAACCCAGGTGGCAGAGGCTGCCGTGAGCTGAGTTCACATCACTATACTCCAGCCTTGGTGGCAGAGTGAGACCCTGTCTCAAAAAACACAAAAAGTCTTAAATTACACCTGCAAAGTTCCTTTTGCCATATAAGGTAGCCATCACAATTTCTGGGGATTAGAACCTCATTTTCTTTTCTTTTTTTTTTTGAGATAGGGTTTTGCTCTGTTGCTGAGGCTAGAGTGCAGTGGTACAGTCATGGCTCACTGGAACCTCAAACTTTTGGGTTCAAGTGATCCTCCTGCCTCAGCCTTCCAAGCAGCTAGGACTGCAGGTGTTGCCACCACACCTGGCTGATTTTTTAAAAATTTAATTTTGTAGAGATGGAGCCTTGCTGTGTTGTCCAGGCTGATCTGGAACTCTCGGCCTTAAGTGCTCTTCCTGTGTCAGCCTCTCATAGTCCTGGAATTACAGGCATGAGGAGGAGGTAACAGCTAAGCTGGGACCCATAGGTGGGGTGGGAGTTAGTTAGGCTGGGAAGGGTAGATATACCATGGGGAGGCTTGGAGCTAAGGTTATGAGTTTAGGGTGGTTCCCTGGGGCTCAAGACCCAGGTGCTGGGGAGTGGCCTGAGTAGAGGTTGAGGCCAGACCCTGGAACACTCAGCAACCAAGCTCCAAGCTCTGGAGGTGCATTGTCTTCTGAACCTTCTACGAGGATAGGGCTCTGCCTTTATTTGTGCTGCGCAGCATGGTGGCACTAGCCACCTGTGGTGGTTGAATATCTGAAATGTGGCCAGGGTGACCGAGGGACAGACGTTTTGATATTATTTACTTTTAAGGAATTTGAATGTAAATAGCCACATGTGGCTGTGGCATTGGGCAATGCAGTTCTAGAGTTTGCTCACTGTGGAAGGATTTTGCTCAGGGCAGTGATGTGACCAGGATTGTGGAATGGAGGCCGGATTGTTGGGGAGGATAGGAGATCAGACCAATGCACTGGCAGGGATGATGGAGAAAAGGGGCCCAGAGGCACAGGGGAGGAGAATCAGCCTGCGTTGCTGGAGGTTAAGACATGGAATGAGGACAGGGATTGTCAGGGTGATGCTTAGGTGCTAGTCTGGTGACTTAGGTGAAGAAGTACTTCTGGGGGAAAGATGCTGAGCTTAGAGTGGTCCTTGTTAGGCTGTGTTGGAACATTCTAGTACCAGCGGACAGCTGGGAGGAGAGACCAGGAGCTCCAGGGGTCATCAGGGCTGCAATTAGAGATCTGGGAGGCAGCAGCTCATGTATCCAGGTGGGGATGTTTGCGAACCACCCATCCCAGGATCCTCGGTATGCCTAGTGCAGATTCCTGGCTCTAGCCCTGGACTTATTTAACCTCCGAAAGTGCTGGGATTACAGGCGTGAGCCGCTGTGCCTGGCCTACTTTTTTTTCAACTTAAAAAAAAATTGTGATTAAAAAAAACCCCATAGCATAAAATTCCATTTTAGTCATTTTAAATTAACAGTTCAGTAGTTTAAGTAGAGTCACGTTGCTGTGAAAAAGAACGTATTCATCTTGCAAAACTGAAACCCTGTACCGTTAAACAACTCTCCTTCCCCCAGCCCCTGGTAAATGCCATTCTCCTTTCTGTCTGTATGGATTTGACTACTCTAGGGACCCCATCAAGGACAAGTGTTTGTCCTTGTATGACTGGCTTACTTCACTTAGCTAATGATGTTGTTCATCTGTGTTTCTGTGTTGCAAAATGTCCCCGAATGTCCTTCCTTATTAAGGCTGGATAATAATTGCATGGTATGAATAAGCCATGCTTTGTCTATCCGTTTATCCACCTGGGTTGTACCTCTGGCTGTTGGGAATAGTACTGGAATGAACACGGGCAGGCAAATCTCTCTTTGAGACTCTGCTTTCAGTTATTTTGGCTGCATACCCAAAAGTGGGATTGCTAGATCCTAGGGTAGTTCTATTTTTAGATTTTTGAGGAACCAACCTCCATGCTGTTTTCCACATCAGTTATGCTATTTTGCAATCTCACGAACAGCGTACAAGGGTTCCAGTGTCTCCACAGCCTTGCCAGCGTTGTTATTGTCTGTGTTTTTGATAGTAACCACCCCGTGGATGTGATAACCATGTTATTTCATTGTGGTTTAGGTTGGCATTCCCCTAGTAGTTAATGATGCTGAACATTTTTTCATGTGCTACATGTCCATTTGTATATCATTTTTGGAGAAATATCTATTCAAATCTTTTGCCCATTTTTGAATTGGGTTATTGGATTTTTGTCGTTGAGTTCTTTATCTCTTCTGGATATTAATATTTTCTCTTATTCTATAGGCTGCCCTCTTTCTGTTGATTGTGTCTTCTGATGCACAAAAGATTTTATGTTTAATGTAGTTCCATTTGTCTATTTGTACTTTGTTTCCTTTGCTGTGTGTGTGTGTGTGTGTGTGTGTCTGTTTAATATATTTCACGGCGGGGCACTGTGGCTCATGCCTATGATTCCAGCACTTTGGGAGGCTGAGGCAGGTGGATAACTTGAGGCCAGGAGTTTGGGAGCAACCTGGGCAACATGGCAAAACCCCATATCTACAAAAAATACAAAAATTGACCAGATGTGATGACACACACCTGTAGTCCCAGCCACTTGGGAGGCTGAGGTAGGAAGATTGCTTTAGCCTGGGAGTTTGAGGCTGCAGTGAGCTATTATCAAACCACTGCACTCTAGCCTGGGTGGCAGAGCAAGACCCTGTCTCAAAAAAACAAGAGACAAATACAAAGAAATATAATTCACATTCCACCAGTTAACTCTTTAGAAGTGTACGATTCAGTGTGGTTTTTGTACATTCACAAGGTTGTACATCCATCACCACTATGTAGTTCCAGAAGTTTTTCACTGCCCCAAATGGGAATCCTTACCCATTAAACAGTCCTTACCCATTTTCCGCTTCCGCAACCCCCGGGAACCTTTAATCTACTTTCTGTTTTTTTTGGACATTTCATGTAAATGAAATCTGGTTTAGTCAGGGATCTCCAAAGAAACAAAACCAATAGGATATCTATAAATATGTAGAAAGATTTCCTATGAGGGATTCATTCATGCAGTTAGGCTGAGAAGTCCCAGGATCTGCCATCCACAAGCAGCAGGCTCAGGAACGCTGGTGGCGTAATACCCACCCTAGCCCGAACGCCTGGGAACTAGGGGAGCCTACAGTGTCTCCCCCTGAATCTGAAAGCTCCAGAACAGAGGGACCAGCATGGAAGTCCTGGTCTGAGTACAAAGGAAGTCCTTTGTCTGAGTCCAACCAGGAGATATGATATCTGAGAGCAGATGAGGACAGATATCCCAGCTCAAGCAGGAAGGGGAAATTACCTCTTCCTTTCTTTGTTGTATTCAGGTCCTCAAAGGATTGGATAATGCCCATCCAGATTGAGAAGAATGGGTCTTCTTTTTTCTTTTCTTTTCTTGAGACGGTGTCTTGCTCTGTCACCCAGGCTGGA